GGGAGACTTGACAATTCCACAAGAATGATGCACAAATACCTTGGCTAAATGACAAATTCCTGCTAGCTGCTTGATCTTATGTTCTCTGAAACAAGACACACTGGAAAACAGAGTAAATATTAGAAATGTGAAGTTCTTATTTATTTTGATTTTCTAATTATAGAACTCAAAATGAAGTTGCTAGAACAGTAGATATATGATTCAGTAGGAAAAATTCATACACATATCTGCACATTCTTGGGCATGTATGTATGTACTGTGCCACTTATCCTATATAATAAAAGGGTAATATGCAAGGTTAATATGACAAATGGTCAAACAACTGGTTTCTATGATGCGCACTGACCACCAGGGGGGCAGGCGCTCAACGTACCTGCCCCAGCCCACAGGCCCTGATCTCCCAATTGGGTCCCTTCCACCAGCAGGAAGTCTCTGATCGCCTGATGGTGAATACGGAACCGGGAACCAGGGGTGGGTGGTGCGAAGGGGTGGGACTGGCTGCCTGCAGCCAGGGAAGATGGCCCTGATCGCAGGCCAGGCCTAGGGACTGTACCCGTGCAAGAATTTCATGCGCCAGGCATCTTGTAGTAATATATTTGAATTTCAACAAGGTACTAAACAATGTGTTAAATTATGAGCTTATGATTAAAACTGATATATGGTACAGTTAAAAATGTGTCATAAAATGTATATGTAAATTATGAAACTAATATTTAAATAATAATATAAATTATTATACCACTAATAATAGTAAATAATGACTATTACAATGACAGGCACTGTGCTCAATGCCTTGTATGTCTGTCTTACCTTGATATCTGACATCTGACATGTGCTATGAAGTAGGTACTATCATTATCCCCGTGTGACAGCTGAGGCAATTGGTCAAGTTCACCTACTTAGCAAATAGCAGGTTCAGAATTTAAATACAGTTTCAATCCCAAGGTCTTTGCTCATAATTACTAGGCTGTGCTATTACTAAAAAAACACTAATTAATATGTTGCTATAATAACAGAAGAAGCTTTAATGTTTTTCTAGCCCTGTCTTGATGTACATTTAAACAAAGACATACATAGCATTATAATCAGCTGAATGAATGATACTGTACTTCAAAGGCTTACTAGTACATAACCCCAAACTATTAACAGTTGTTCCCTGAAGGAAGACACTAATAATAGAGAATGGAAATGGAAAAAGGGAAGGCGACCATTTGACTGTGTTTATATGTACAGAGAACTCAAAATAAAATTTAACAATAACAACAAAACATTAACTACACTTATGTAGAATGAGGGATTATACCAAAGAAGATCAGCTCCTCCTCAACTTATGACCAAATGACATTCTTTAAAAAAAAATTTATTTTACTTAGGATGTAATATTAGAGGGATATTCATTAAAAAGTGAAGGGTCTACCCAACAGTTAGATCAGCCCTGGACCATAAAAGTACTTGATACATTATTTGTGTGGTTAAAATATCTAATGTCTCCTCAAAGGGTCCTCCTCATATTTATTTCTCTACCTGAAGGTTAAATAAACCTTTAGTCCTTTATTGTAATACTAGGGGCCCGGTGCACGAAGATTCATGCACTGGGTGGGGGTGGAGAGGGGGTCCCTCAGCCTGACTTGTACTCTCTCCAATATGGGAGCCCTCAGGGGAGCCCTCTCCAATCTGGGAGTTTCTGTCTGTCTTGGCAATCATATGAGTGAATTGTCTGAGACCTCCAACCCAGTTGGGTTTGTTGTTCACAGAATAATAGAGGCATGTTTTTTTCTTTGCTCCATTGGTGGAGATTTCCTGGAAGTTTTAGGATATCTTCCCTTAAATTTTTCCTAGACACTCTGATTTTACTTATGTCTCTCACTTTTGCTTTCCCTCCATCCCTCACTGCAACAGTAACTTGCTCCAGACTCACTTTGCTAGTGTCTAGGAGAACTATGAATCCCAGCATTT